TGAAGGGAAAAAATATTCATTAATTTATCACTCAACTGTAGTTAAACACGTAAGCATTTTGATACGAAAAGTTGAACTGACCGTAAGATTATTAGTTAATTTCCCCACCTGATATCGACCGGTCGGAAGATGTGCGCGAGAATACTGTCACTAAAAAGGATTCCTTTTTGAGGAAAGCGGCGCTTTATTTTGGCCAGTGTTCATCATTTTCACCTCAATCCGAGTTTGGCGTAAAGTTTGAGATTTTAATGAACCTCGTTTAAGGCAAGATCAAGATAACGAGAGCGTAGTTGTGATACCTGGGCGCCGTGACGTTAATGACGTTTTAACGACTCCAAAATATCAACCTACTGGTCGCTGGCCAACGTGGAAACCCGATCCGACACTTATCTGGTCTGACGCCAGAACAAAGACCTGGTATCCTAAAGGCCACCACAACTGCCGTAAAGGAATTCTCAGACAGTTGAATAGTCTAGGGAGCGAACGGGGGAGTTTGTTTTCAAGAAATTTGCTTTTGAGAATTTAATAACAGTCTTCTGCGCTTGCTTTGACTGCGTATAAAATTTTATGGTTCTTTGTGATTTTAGTTGCAGTGAGATACAGTCAGCTACTTAGGTCTGGAATTTCCCGCACAAGTTCGATATTATATTTATGAATTTACCATTTAGTAAAATGAGCTTTAACATAAATGAAAATGCATTCAATGCACATGATAATAAAGAATTTAAAATTTAAATTTGATCTATAGTGCCTATATGCATACAAGAAATATACAATTTTTTTTATATATATATATATATATATATATACATATGTGTGTGTGTGTGTGTGTGTGTGTGTGTGTGTGTGTGTGTGTGTGTGTGTGTGTGTAATGTTGCATATTACGTTGCATAATTTTGAAATAGAGACAAAAATATTTTACTCAGTAAAAAGATGCAAGTTCATTTCGGTGCATTTCAGTTGTCCCACCTCGACGGTTGAAAACCAAAAATGATTATGAAAAAAATTCTGCATGTAAGGAAGCCGTATCTGTAAGGTAAAAAAAAAAAAAAAAAAAAAAAAAACAGAAAAAGATTTGCCCTCTTTTGCATTAATGGTGTGAGCTTTAGAATTTATATATTATTTTTCGTTCTCATGGCTTCGGATATATATATATATATATATATATATATATATATATATATATATATATATATATATATATATATATATATATATATATATATATATATTTGTTTGAATAAAACAGACCACTTTAAGGTTCCATGTAATAAGTTATTTCACCACAACCCTTTTAAAAGGTTCTGGATCATCAGACTTTACTTACAAAGGTTGAAATGAAAAATGAAAAGAAACTTACACATTTTTGACGGACCGCACCAAGCATATGTAAAATTAACGAAGTGAGGAAGTGAGGTGGGAGAGAAGATATGAGTGAGTTAGATGTACCATTTCAATTCCTTATTCTTAACCCCACTCTGTGTAGGCTAGACGCCGCTTAACTTAACGTATGTTATCTCTAGATATAGATGGGTAAGGGGTGAGGGAGAAGACCGACTTAAAAGGGAGAAGATGCAACAAACAATAAATCATGTCCATGAGAGCAGGTTTCACTCAAATTCTTAGACGCTGTTATTACGTATTACTTTAAAGGATATATTTCGGGGTTAAAGTTTGATATAAATCTAAATGTCTAAAAAATCTACGAAGAATTTAATTTGAAGTTTGTTGGAGTTTTGGATATTTTCTATGAAGTAGTCGATTGGAAAAAATTCATAGAAAGTAAATTGAAAGAATAATCCATTTTATATCTAGTAATCGTTTTTATTTTCTTAAACTTTTTTCTTATAGATTGTTAAGTTGATATCTATTCGTTTGATTTTTGTTCATAAATTAAATTCGTGACTGTTTTTAGATACCTAATTATCAAATGTTATTCAAATTTAAATAATTTACCATCAATAATGATTATTAAAGGGTAATATATCTCAATTTAAATTAATTTATCAATTTAAAATTTACCTCCGTATTATTTATTTAAACTCACCTCCAATTGGAGAATATTAGAGGAGAGAATTGGATAAAAGATTACTAACAGAAAATTAGGTCCTTCTTTTACAATATTCTATATATCCGTACACATACTTTTTTCTTGTTGATTATTCAGTTGACATCTATTCGTTTGAGTTTTGTTCATAAATTAAACTCGTGAGTGTTTTTAAATACCTACCTAATTATTATCAAAGGTTCTTCCAATTTAAATAATTTTATCATCAATAATGATTATTAAAGGGTAATATATTTCCATTCAAATTAAATTACCAATTTAAAATTTACCTTTCAATGTAATTTCTATGAATTTTTTCGAATCGAATTCTTCGTAGATTTTTTAGACATTTAGATTTATATCAAACTTTAACCCCGAAACATACCCTTTAAAGTAATGCGAAATAACAGCGTCTAAGAATTTGAGTGAAACCTGCTCTCATGGACATGATTTATTGTTTGTTGTATCTTCTTCCTTTTAAGTCGGTCTTCTCCCTCACCCCTTACCCATCTATATCTAGAGATAACATACGTTATGTTAAGCGGCGTCTAGCCGACACAGAGTGGGGTTAAGGATAAAGAATTGAAATGGTACATCTAACTCACTCATATCTTCTCTCCCACCTCACTTCCTCACTTCGTTAATTTTACATATGCTTGATGCGGTCCGTCAAAAATGTGTAAGTTTCTTTTCATTTTTCATTTCAACCTTTGTAAGTAAAGTCTGATGATCCAGAGCCATTGAAAAGTGTTGTGGTGAAATAAATTATTACATGGAATCATAAAGTGGCCTGTTTTTATTCAAACATATTTATTCTGAATTTACATTAAGCTCTCTGGTTATCATCCTCCTTGTGTCTGCTCATGCGGATTACCTAGTTTTGCATATATATATATATATATATATATATATATATATATATATATATATATATATATATATATATATATAAAATCCTTTCCCAAATAAAGCTATAAAGCCACTAAGAAGCAAAGGGTTACGGAGTGTGAGTGTATATGGGAGAAAGAGGACATTATTAATGAAATAGAACGATAAAATTACAGGAATTAAAAATGACAGAATATATCGAATGATATTCCAGTGAAATTTTAGAATTTTTTTCATTGTAAACAAGAGGTAAGATGGTTGTTCCAAAGAGGCTGCTAGATTTGTACCGCCACACTATCAGTACAAATAATATATATATATATATATATATATATATATATATATATATATATATATATAATTTAAATAAATTGAATATAAATCTTTCATCGATTAGGCGATGACATCAAAAAAATAATTTTATTTCAAAAGAACACATTCTACATTAGTGAGAAAAAGCATGTTTCATTTTAATTATCTCAATACTTAATTTATTTTAGTTTGATTTCTATTCATTTGTAATGAAATCCCGCAATGTTTCACTACTAATTCAGGAAAGTGCAGATGGACAAACGAAGTATAAAACTAACCTGCTGTATAACCACTAATTCAGGAAAGTGCAAATGGACAAACGAAGTATAAAACTAACCTGCTGTATAACCACTAATTCAGGAAAGTGCAGATGGACAAACGAAGTATAAAACTAACCTGCTGTATAACCACTAATTCAGGAAAGTGAAAATGGACAAACGAAGTATAAAACTAACCTGCTGTAAAACCACTAATTCAGGAAAGTGCAGATGGACAAAGGAAGTATAAAACTAACCTGCTGTATAACCACTAATTCAGGAAAGTGCAGATGGACAAACGAAGTATAAAACTAACCTGCTGTATAACCACTAATTCAGGAAAGTGCAGATGGACAAACGAAGTATAAAACTAACCTGCTGTATAACCACTAATTCAGGAAAGTGCAGATGGACAAACGAAGTATAAAACTAACCTGCTGTATAACCACTAATTCAGGAAAGTGCAGATGGACAAACGAAGTATAAAACTAACCTGCTGTATAACCATTAATTCAGGAAAGTGCAGATGGACAAACGAAGTATAAAACTAACCTGCTGTATAACCACTAATTCAGGAAAGTGCAAATGGACAAACGAAGTATAAAACTAACCTGCTGTATAACCACTAATTCAGGAAAGTGCAGATGGACAAACGAAATATAAAACTAACCTACTGTATAACCACTAATTCAGGAAAGTGCAAATGGACAAACGAAGTATAAAACTAACCTGCTGTATAACTGAATAAATTAGGAACATTTTAAAAAATTAGATATAACTCTATCATAAAATGAGAAAACAAGGAAATATTTTACAAACTGAAGTCTGGAAATAGCTGGAACAAATAATAATAGCACAATTTCAGGCAATGATTTTGAAGATTTTTAAAATTTTATTTACTTTGTTTGAAAGTTGAATAAGTTACTCATTTGAGTATGATACATCAACAGGTCTCACTGGTGTACATAGTTTATTTTAATTTCCATTAAATATGGTGCATTAACCAATTATTAGAGGGAATAATCGGAATAATAAAAAATAAAAATTGCCTGGCACATGTTTCTCTGTATGGCTCCAATATCTTAATGTTAATTGTGCGAGGAAATTATTTCTTGGCAATTTTCATCCAAAAAAAAATAACATTAAAATAATGATATTTGAATGTAAAGAAAATAAGTGGCGCTAACTTTTGGATATTTTACTATGTTTTATGAAAAATATATTTTATGGCAATGTTTATATTTAATAATGAAATAATTTTTGTAAATTACCAATAACATAAGACAAACTCATTCGGTAATTTAAAAAAAATTAAGATAAAAAAAGATAGAGTGATCTTGTTGATATTATTTAAAACACTTGATTATGATCATGTTTCTCTATGGCGTCCTGTCTGCTGAGGTTTAACTAATTTAAACCATTTAAATCACATTTTTGTAGCACGTTTTCCGACAATTTTTGGAGAATTTTTCGAACATTTAATCCCCATTGATTAGTAGTTCTTTCTTTTTCTATCTCTTCCCCCGAGCTCTCTCTCTCTCTCTCTCTCTCTCTCTCCTCTACATTGTTGTGTGTGTTTTAAATTCTTCAACGCAGTTCTCTGTGAGTTTTCAGATATATCTTTCAACAGCCATTATTTTGCAGTTCGTATTCATCTTAAAATATACTAATTTCTTACCATTTTCCGATAGTATCCCGTCCTTATGACATCAAGATTTTGTCATATCAGAATGTATTTCTAATCACGTATTACAGACATTGATTGACTAATTATATTAATTTATTGATTCGATTTTTAGGGCTTATCAACCTTTCAGGTTATTCAAACCCAGAATGTTTTTTGTTGTTGTTGTTGGAGGTAATAATAGTTTAGCAATACAAATTTTACCTTATTAATTAACAGTGAGATGGTACAAAAAGAGTTGTATTCATATCTTTCCCAATGATACTTGCGCCTACTTTCAAATAAGAAACATAACGGGAATTGGAAACCGGCTATAAAAATCAACAATTCTGACCCATTATCCATTAAGCCACCCGCATATCCAAGTGATGTACGCACCTGTTGTTTCTAAGCGGTCACTCATCTAGGTATTGAACAGGCTCCACGTTGCTTAAGCTCGGTGATCGTACGGGAACTGGTGTTTAAACATGATATAGCCGGAAGCCTATATAACAGATTAGACAATATTATGTCCCACACATTTGAAATTGTTTCTTAGAAAATGTCAGTTCATTTCGCTTCTTTCACTGTTTCTGGAAGATATCTTTCACTATCTCACGGTTGCATCGAATTTTTCTTTCACACATTTCCTTTTGTTATACTATTAGCGTAACCGTGTCGTTCAAAATGGCTGCTTTTTTTTATCCACCTCAATTATATTGTTGATAACTGGCTTCAGTGAATAATAGATTATTAACGATATGAACTCTGTTTTGTACATTTATTACTTTTTCTCAGTGCGCCAGTATTATCATTCCTCCTTTTGGTGTGTTGTTATTCAGTTTCTTGCCGAAGACTTTCTTCCATTCACATTCACATTGTTTCTCGTCTTGTCATAGATTCTTCCTCTGTTACATTTTGAATCATTTCGGGTACTCATTCTCTCATGACAGCTTTTTTTGCATTAACCATTTCCTCTGTTTCATTTAGTCTTCTTTTCCCAGCTCTCTCTTTCTCTCTCTCTCTCTTCTCTTTATCTATTGCTTTCTTCTTGTGTCTCATCAGTTCGCATATGAGCCTCGCGTCTCCTGGCGTTTGCTTGTATTACTTCATAGCTTTCCGGCGATAACAATAAATATATTTGCCTATCTGCCACCCGCCCTGACTGTATCATATCCCGTAACAGGTGTAATCATTGCTTTTGATCTAGTTCAAGGTAAATTTTCATTTTATAATTTTCATAGGACATTTTTTTCTTAAATTCCCCTAACAATGTAAAACATAGGGAATTACTTAAATTTAATCCTATGATTATAGAGCAAGATTTTGTTGGTATAACAATGTAAAATTAAATGTATTTAAATAATATGACAAATTGTACTTGCGTCATGTTTTTGTTTAACATAGAGTACCCCAAGCAGGGCAGTAAAGCAACTCAGACACAAGTGGTTACTGTGTGTAGAAGAATTAGATACAAAAATATTACTAGGGAATGAGAAAAAAAACAAAAAAACAGTAGATTGAAATTGCATTTAAATTATTGATGTTAAAAGTTGGCTAGAAAGCATTGGAGCAGAAGCGTGTTCCGCAAGTGAAAAGCGCGACAAAAGAAACTGTTATCATTGAAAATACATGCAATATAAACACGAAATTTATCTTTTAATTGTTATTCAATATTATATTTAGATAGTAAAATTGTATTGCATATAGCATACGATAATTCACATATTCAGATAAAATATATAATTATTGCGACATATTCTGTTTCACCGGTAAAAAAAAAGAAAAAATAATAGATATGTTTGAAAGTAATTGGTAATTGTAAAAAATGCTATGACATTGTGTTTCATTGATTACTCATGATATTATATGAATCTCTTTTTGCTTAATGTCTTTTTATGTTGCAAATGTTATATATCTATCTATAAAAGGCAGGGTGTGTGTGTGTGTGTGTGTGTGTGTGTGTGTGTGTGTGTGTGTGTGTGTGTGTGTGTGCACGACGAATGCACGGCCGTAATTTTCAACGGATTTGCACCAAAATTTACATGCACATACTCCAAGTTAGCGGGAAAGCCAAAACGGACCTTGCATTTCTCAACTCCCATAGATAGTGGAAATAATCGATTTTTTCATGCTTCTACGGCAGTTTTCATGTAGTTGGCGGCCATTTAGTACTCGCCAGAGTGAGATCCAATAGCTGGCTGCCACGAATAGGCAAGAAGATTCTATTGGCCAGCGTGAGAGTCAACAGCTGACTGACACGAATGTTAACTAGCATGCAAAAAAATCGATAGTTGCATTCGTCACAAGTGGGAAAAATTTAAATCTGCATGGCACTTTACTCCAATTGGCCCATTCGCTTGCTTGAACTCAACGTTGATTCTGATTCCGCAGAACTGGGTTGGGTGCGAAAAAGTATGTGTTGTTAACATTCTTTTTTTCATTCGGTTTTTCCAGTTACGTGTCCTTTTTTAAAGCTGACCGTTTTGTGTTAATTTTGTTTAATCCTTTCTTCGTAGCAGATTTAATGTTTAGTATAGAGCTTAGAAAAAATTCGCAGTGTGAGATAGTCAAGAAGTAAAACATGTAGCAACATCAACACAGCAAAGGGCACTCCTTTAAAGGCAAGGAAGGGCAAAAATATTTTAAGTCAAGTGATAGCGATTGCTGTATGAGTCGTACGATTTTTGAATCAAGCACGGGCAACCCCGGGCCATGCTGCTAGTGTTTAATATGAAAGTGAAGTGGGAATATCTCATGGAAGAGAAAGTTTAGTAACAGTACCACAAAGACTGACGACAAAGCCTATTTCAAGACAAATGTTGAAATACGACGATCACTTCAGAGACAAAGGCATCTGTGTTCCCTATATGAAAATGTTGAACTTATAAAATTGCTATTACTAAATAGAAACACATGGATAATTATTATATGATTTGCTACTTGCAGTGAAATTTCAGGAGTTGCTTCTTTTACGCACTATCATTAGTTGTTAATTTTACACGAAATCTCTGCCTTTTGACTTGTTACCTTTGATATTCTAGTTTTTTATTATTATTATTACTTCTTTCATGTGCAACGCTGTCATATATACATTTTTTTTCAGTTTCCTAAATGTGTTATAAAGGATGTTTTGTTTGCGCATCGAATACTGTTAATGTTATCTTCGCTTCGGTAGGGTTTCTACTCTCGGAATCATCTCACTGTAAATGTTAAATAAATCCTCTAAAATAACAGTTCCATACAGTTTTTTTTTATTCCGCCGTCATTTATTTCCTTCAATTTCTGTGTTGTAGGTGTTGCTCTTTTATTGTCATAGAAAAAAATAATGTATCCATACTTACTCTCTCGTGGCAATTCGTTCTTATTGTTGATTTTTATTATTATTATTATTATTATTATTATTATTATTATTATTATTATTATTATTATTATTGTTGTTGTTATAATAATTATTATTATTATTTCCTTCTGCGAATTTTATACAATTTGCCGAAGGATATGTTTATTCCTGCCATTATTTGATTGATTTTTTTATACATGCTACATCAGTGCTCGACAGAATGTCTATATCGGTAAATTTGTCATTATGCCTTTGCATGCATTTATTCTTTTTTTAATTTTTCCCTCTTATATTCTGTGTAATTTCTTGGGATTTTATGCTGTCTCTTCTTAATTTGAGAAAATTCACGTCTTTACTTTTTCCCAGTTGCTAATAAGCGTTTCCTGAAGGTATTCCAAGGTGAACATCTGATCTGTTAAAAACTCTTGCATTTATTGTTAACTGCCATTGAAAATGTTTTCAAATACAAGAGCGTTTTGAACTTCTTTCATATTGCAGATCATCTATTGTTTTAACTTTATTTATCTTTTGTGGCTTAATTATTATTCTGCCTATTGTTTTGATTGAACGAAATCTCAGCGCTTGAAGATATTTTAGGTAGCATGTCTACTTTTTTATTTTTAATTCTTCCTTAGTCTATCTAGATTCTAAAATCCCCGATTAACCTTTTCAGATCAGATTCATTTTTAAAGTTCTTCAAATGAAGTATTCGTTCTTATTTGGACATTTGCTGCGAATCCACTAAAACAGATTATCTCGGTATACGGTATGTCATCCATGTTCACACTTAACAATCTTGCCGACGACTTTTTCCATACTTACTGTTATAAGAATGAAGACTCATGACGATGCTTAATGCAAAATGTTTGCTATAATATGTGATATCTCATATGTTTTAAATTTAAATATTTATTCTTTTTTACTCTCTGATATGGATTCTCTAAAGGAATAATTCACTTTCATCATGACGTTGTCAGTAGAACAGTGTTCAGTTTTATCGTTTTATCTAATACCAGTCCAAACTTTCTTTAATTTTCTCTAAGCCTTTATCTGAAATGTGTGAGTTAAAAAATATCATTGTTTTTTTTTGATAAATACTCGATTTCTCTGAGCTGTTTGTTTCAGTTACTTTCATCACAATGATTTCATCGAGACACCACAAAACATTATATGTGTATTAGCTCAGAAAATTCAACAGACGTTTGACATGTCTACATTTTTCTAAAGTGTTCTTATTGAACCTTCTTGTCGGCGCTTAAGATGGTGGAGACTCATTGCGCATCTAAGAAAACGACGATTATTTGTAAAATATTAACAATTTTCCTCTTTCCACGAATGTTGAAGGATCTCCCAAATTTGTTAAAGGCGATAGGTCGTATGGTTCCAAAATGGCTTAAAACAGTGTAAGTCTTTTATCTAGTCCCAGGTAGCTGAGATATTAGCAAGTGGTTCCCAAAGTCGTAGGTTTTTCATTTGAGGATATTTGTATTTTTAATCGCAAGATCGAATTGACAACAAAGATCATTCGATTCTTCGTAAAAATAATCCTATATTATGTCTGACCAAAACAGAATGAGACTCCGTGTCTCGTTTTTTTTAAATAATTTATAGATATTTTATGTCAGATTTACCCTAGAATAATCTTTTGTGTTTCTGATTTCTAACAATTTAGTATTTATGGCAATTCGCCTGTGTTCTATTACTTAATGTTTCACCTTTAATGTCTTTTTTTTCTATTTACACTATTTACATTGTTACGACGGTTGTTTTCATCTTTATTTTCATATTCACGATGTCTGGGCCATTGTATGCTCTGAACTTCTTAAGGTGATACACGTTGAAATTTTGAACTGAGCATTTATTTTGTCCACTGGGATAGATTGTTCTAGGTCAAAGTGCTATGACTTTTCTGGATATTTCAGTTTCAATTATTACCCTTTAGTTACTCAAAACTCAGTATTTTGTTTACCTCTACTCTGGTCAGATTTTGAACTAAAAAAAGCTTTGGGTCACGTGACTGAATTACTTCAATGAACACCATTATACACTGGGCCATATGGCAACATATATTTCCTGAAGAAGGCCGAAGCATACAACAAAAGAAACGCCCTGAATATGACAATAAAATGAGGACAACAGTCCGAACAATGTAATTCTTGTAAATAGTTACATTGCATCATCTCCGCAATATAGATAGATTAGTATGTCTGTTTAGAATTTTAAAAAACGTATCTTAGCCCTTTTCTAAACTAGATCTAACAATTAAAAGCGGAAAATATTTTGATCGTTCAGTAACTACAAATCAAAGCTGTCACCGTTTGATCATCGCCTATGTTACATTGAGTTTTGACGTATCACGATAAACTGTTGCATACTCATCGAGTCCCTATGCTTTGAACGTATATCTGGTCTCAAATCTCTCCACAGCTCAAATGGAAACATGTCGTTGATAATATGTTTGTAATATAGTTTGTTTATCCTCTCCAAAAATCAGCAGGCTCCTTTTGCTATGATTTTTATTTAAAAGAGTCAGATTAAACTAAAAATGGAGTACTGTTACAGTATCTGGACCCTACACGTAAGCCATCAATCTGCTACTGGGTGGCATGCCACTAGCGTTTGTTGTCGGGTGGCCGGCGTGTTTGTCTCGGCAATGTTATCACTGACGGGCCTCTAAAGGCTCACTCGTGGCCTGCCCGTCACTGCCACCAGATGGCCGCTGGCGTTATCATCGGCGGCTAACCAGCGGGCCACTAGTGACTTGTGTTTAGGGGAGTGAAACTTAC